GCCCTAGAGAACTGTGAGAAGAAAGATGGCAACTACAGTTTCCTGGATCTGATCAAGTACAACTTCTACCTCCCCTTCTTCTTCTTTGGACCTGTCATGACCTTTGATCGATTCCACGAGCAGGTGAGTCCTGTATTTTGAGAATGTCACAACTTCCTAACATTTTTCTCAAGAAAACAAGCATTTTAAAAGTCCAGCTTATGGAATCGTGTAATAGTTTATATAAAACATAATCTATAAAATAGAATAAATCATTGTTATAGTGTTGATAATGTCACTCTGGTTAGGTATGCACTGTAATGATCCCTCTAATATTCTCAGGCTAACAACCCTAACTTGACTCGTAAAGACAGAGAGATGTGGAACATCACCATTCATGCTTTGGTGCACCTTGGGGCTATTTTGGTGGTGGATGTCTTCTTCCATTTCTTGTACATTTTGACCATCCCTAACGATTTGAAGCTTTTGAAGCAACTGTCTGACTGGTCTCTGGGTCAGTACATAACTAGAAAAAACTGTAGACTTTTAGAAATGATGTTACAAGTAGTTTCTAATTATTTGTAAGTACAATTTCATTTGTTTACTATCACTAGTCGGTCTGAATGTTTTTGCTATTCAGCTGGCTTGGCGTACTCCAATCTGGTGTATGACTGGGTGAAGTCAGCCGTCCTGTTTGGTGTCATTAATACGGTATCCAGACTGGACCATCTTGACCCTCCTCAGCCTCCTAAATGCATCACAATGCTCTATGTCTTCGCTGAAACGTAAGCATAGTCATTAACAGAAGACAAAAGAAAGAGTATGTTTTTGGAAGCAGTTGATGGATTTGTAACCAGATCACATGTTTACAGTTTCTTCTGACATTGACTTTTTTAGGCACTTTGACAGAGGAATCAATGACTGGCTGTGCAAGTGAGCAAATAACCAATTCTATCTGTGTATCATCACGTATCATTTTTAAAAATATATATTTCTATAATAATCATATACTCAGGAAAAACATTCAACTTTACATGTATCTCCTGTTCTTTGTTAAAGATATGTCTATGACTATATCGGAGAAAACCATGATGCCATCTTCAAGGAGCTTCTTGCAACCATTTGCACCTTTGCTGTCACAACTCTGTGGCTTGGACCCTGTGAGCTGGTTTACATTTGGTCTTTCTTTAACTGCTTTGGCCTGAACTTTGAACTGTGGGTGGCTAAATTATTTTCTCTGCCACCGTTCTCCACCATTGAGGTAAGATCCCAAAGACGTTCAGTTGTGAGGGATTTGAGCATTTGGGTTTTGAATCATTACACTACCAATTGATTGTCTTTCAGTATTGCATCATGACTGATTAGCCTACATTTCACTGATATGAAAGTAACAACATTCGCTTACCCTGAGTAATAATGTAATGTTAATATTTTTCCAGCGGAATCTTATGTCTGAGGCAATGTCACGTCGAATCAGGGGTTTGTTCAATGCTGTTAACTTCTGGCAAATTGTCCTGTACAACGTCCTGGCGCTGAACAGTCTGGATTTTGCCCAGCTGGTTACTAAGAGACTGCTTCTTAAAGGTAAGTGTTTTGTTTTAGACCAGGGGTGTCAAACTCAATTCCTGGAGGGCCGCAGCCCTGCAGAGTTTAGTTCCAACCCTGCTCCAACACACATACCATGTAGTTTTCAAATAAGCCTGAAGGACTTGATTATCTGGATCAGGTGCATTTAAGTAGGGTTGAAGCTAAACTCTGCAGGGCTGTGGCCCTCCAGGAACTGAGTTTGATACCCCTGTTTTAGACCATTATATAATGAAAACGGAAATAAAAGTAGCTAGAATCTTGTGCAGAATGTGTTTCTTACATATGTATTCTTTCTTACATATGTAAATCACTCATATATGATGTATATATACATCATACATATGAAAATATTGAAACATATAGTTGTATCAGCACAAAAACTCCAGAGGAATGGGGCAAACACAGCATGTACACAGAGAATAATAGCACCCTTGTGATTCCCTCAGGCTTCCCCTTGTCCACTCTCTCGGTGCTGTTTGTGACTTACTGTGGCGTGCAGCTGATAAAGGAGAGAGAGCGAAAGCAGGCTCTGCTGGATGATCCGGAACCAGTGCCGCCCACAGAGGCGAGCAAACAGAAGGCTGAGTAAAGGACAGAGAGGTCATTGAATCTGATCCAGCTCTTGAGGTCCCTCTTGTTAATTCTGCCCCTGAGCTTTCATGCCAGACCGATGCAGTCCCACCACTATGGTAACTGATTTGCACAAGTCTGTTTTAAAAACACAAGATGTTTTTAACTGTGAATAGTTCTGAAGTGCACTTGCTTTAGCCAAATGCAACCTGTTCTCTGACTTACTCTAGAACAAACAAACCAACAAGTGCATCTTTTATTTATATTTTCAGTGGATATGGCTATTTAAAGAATGGGCTTGCCAAATATTTTATGAATAAATAATATATTGAACAATAAAATAAAAATATACAATGTTTTCAGGGTTGTCTTTTATTTCATCACTCTTAATATGTTTACAGCAGTGTAATTTGAGTATTGTTGAGACACTATTATAGTTTCTAATAATATTTTGAATGAGTTTTTATTTTTACACGTTTATATATGTTGTGTTTTTGTCATTTTTACTAGTTTTTCTTTTAAAAATGTCTATAATTTTTATTAATTTCAGTTATTCATTTTACTACATCATTTTAGACACTAAAAATGAGAAATGATTCCTCAACAACTAGTTGAAATAAAGATTCTTAAATAGTTTTTTTTAATATTGTATTTAAATTAATGTTTATTTTTATTTCAATTAGCAACTTCTTCATGGTTTTAATTTCAGTTTTAGTTAACTATAATAGTCCTGGTTTACAGCCATTATTATTACACAAAACATACATTCTAGGAACATGTTAAAGGGGTCATATGATGCTTTTTTAAAGATCATTATTTTGTGTATTTGGTGTAACAGAATATGTTGACATGCTTTAATGTTAAAAAAACACATTATTTTTCAAATACTGTACATTATTGTAGGTCCTCTATGCCCCGCCTCTCTCAAACGCTTCGTTTTCTACAAAGTCCCTCCTTCCAACAAGCGCAGTCTGCTCTGATTGGCCAGCTGACCCAGTGCATTGTGATTGGCCGAACACCGCAAGCACTCGTCGGAAATGTAACGCCCCTTACCATAATCGTGAGCTTCATCTTTCAAAATAAATGTAAAGACAGCCCGAAAGGGGAACAGAGTCGCGTGACAGACAGTGATGAAGCTGGTATGTGTTTGCAGTACACAAGCCACGGTTAAGACAGCTGACTCTGTGATGTGACCCTGTCTCTCTCTCTCACACACACACGCACGGGCGCGCACGCACGCACACACACACACGATGCACAAAACTCCGCATTTGAACAGTCAATAGCACATACTTAAACTAATAACAATCAGCTTGTAACACTCCAAAGAGAAAGGAAAACTTGAAATCGCATCATATGACCCCTTTAAACTTATGTATTTTTATTTTACATAGTTCTGAACTACTTATAAACAATAGTCACAATGATGCCCCATTAAACCACAGAAAGCTTAGTCACTTCACCACATTAAACTTTGTGCAGTCACATTTTTCTGTTACTCATGTCACAATCTAGCAAATGATACGGTGTGAACACATTCCCCTATTAGGCTTTGTCCTACATTGAGCTTTGAATGGCACACTAGAGATTTGAGTTGATTAATGGGCCTAAAATATACACTGATGAATACTGTAGGTCTGCTATGCTGCTGTTATCAGCACACAATTACATATCTCCTAGTTTTCAGTCTCCCTTTGGATTTTTTGTCACCTTACATGGGTTATTAGCTCAAATTAGAATTTCCCTTGTTGTCATATACACTAAAAATAAACTTTTTTCTTTTGCCTTATGGTTCCATGAAGAACCTTTATTATCCATGGAACCATTTCATCACACAGAAGGTTGAAGTATTCTTCAAAGTATTCTTCGGATTATTCATCTTATTTAGACTAAGAACAAATTGTTCTTTTAAGAACTATTGACTGAAAGGTTTGAGGAACTCGAAAGGATTTTTCTATGTCATCGCTACAAAAACTTCCCTTTGGAAACCTTTATTTTTAAGAGTGTGCCTTTAGAAAGTTTATAACTTCAAACTGGAATTATTTTATTAAATATCTACTTACAGAAATGGCTTTAAACAAAGACCTGTTTGTGATTAATTGGTTCAAGGTGAAAATGTAAACAAGCTATAATAACCTAGTGGTTAGCACATGTGTTCAAACATATTATGCCATGGGTCTCAAGTAAGGGATGCAAGTTTTCCATTCCTGTTTTCCCTGCCATCTTCAGTCCTCCCTATATGAAAAAATGTCAAAACAATGAAAATGTAATGCATTCTACTGGAACTGGAACACTGTTGCACTCATGGTGCCGAGGTTCAGGTCTAGCCTGGGACATGTCCTGTTCCCCCTGTTGTAAATTCAAAGATTAGCAATGCTTGCTACTATGAATTGATGCTAAGAGATGTAGAAGCCCATAATACCGAGTTGCTCCACTAGAGGGCTCCACTAGATGGACTTTATCTCCCAAAGCAACAGGCAGTTCTATTTCTGTTTGTCTCATTTTGAAACTAGTCTTAAATGGGTCTGATTTCCATCTTTTCTTTCACTCTGTAACATTCTTTTCAAGCTGTTCACATTTCACAACCATCTTGTGGTGCTCTACTCTCCTCCATAAGATCTACAACTTAATATTCCCAGTGAGCAACATGTCAGCTGTTGGTCTGATCTATTTGGTGGGGGGAAGGGAGGGACAGCTTGTATTTCAGGCCCTAAGTGTGGTTCATTTACTCATTTCTATATATAGATGGACAGTCAGTAGCTGATAGCTTGTGACATCTGAGGAGTTGAGGCCACACCAAAGCGTCACATCCTCCGCCATTTCTCTTTTAGAGTAACAGTGTTAATACAGTCAGTTCAGTTCTGCAGTGGGAGAGGACCAGGATACCCCTCCCTCCTACTGAAATATCACATCAAACCATAACAAGATGGCCTCCTTGTCAGTGGATCCAGTGACGGAGCCACGGATGTACCAGCAAACGCTCCTACCAGATGGGCTCTGTGATCTCCTGGATGCTAACAAGTTTGTGGACTGCGTTCTGAAGATCAAAGACAAAGAGTTTCCTTGTCATCGGCTAGTGCTAGCCGCTAGCAGCCCTTACTTCAAAGCCATGTTCCTTTCAGACCTGGAAGAGAGCAAAAAGCGGGAGATTGTTCTAAAAGACATCGAACCTGGAGTCATGGAAATGATCCTGAGGTACATATACACCTCGGATATCAACCTGACTGAGCATAACGTCCAAGACATTTTCATGGCAGCCAACATGTACCAGATTCCATCAATCTTCAGCGTGTGTGTCTCGTATCTGCAGCAGAAGCTGGTTCTTGGTAACTGTCTGGCCATCTTTAGACTGGGACTGTTGCTGGACTGTCCACGTTTGGCTATGGAGGCTCGGGACTTCATCTGTGACCGTTATGCCCTCATCATTCGGGACCAGGACTTCCATCAGTTGGGTCCCAGCGAGTTGGCGGCTATCATCACATGTGACTCTCTGAATGTGGAACGAGAAGAGTTGGTGTTTGAATCTCTCATGGACTGGGTGGAGTTCGACACGGGAGAGAGATTGAATGACCTGCCGCAACTTCTACACTGCGTACGTTTCCGTCTTATACCGACGAGTTACTTTAAAGAGAAAGTCGAGGGCCACAGATTGATCAGGACAAATCAGGAGCTCAAGAAGGAGCTTCAGATCGTCAAGGATGCACAGAAAGGAGTGCTACACAGGGTCAAAAGGGTCAAGAAGGAAGGCGAGACAGCAGATTCTGAGGACGAGGATGAGGAGGGTATGCTGCCAGGAATCCTAAATGACAATCCACGTTTTGGAATGTTTCAATCAGACCTTTTATTAATGATTAGCGATACAGGAGCGGTAGCATATGACGTTGACGCAAACGAGTGCTTCATGGCATCTTCATCCACCGAGATCCCTAAGAACCATTGCAGTCTTGTCACAAAGGAAAATCAGATCTTTGTTGCTGGAGGTCTGATGTACAACGAAGAGAACAAAGAACAGCCGTTCAGTTCCTACTTTCTTCAGGTAATGCATAGTCAAGTCTTGCTAATGTTGCTAAATATGTTTGTAACAAATCAATGACTCAAAGCATCATGAGTCTCTGGTTCCAAAAATACATTTGTGAGAATGACCCACAGGGTCCATTTTGCTTCAGAACAGCTGTTAAAGCTTTGAACCTCATGTTGCCTGCATGACATTTTCCTCATGTAATTCAAGAGAAACCTTTGAAAGGATTGTGTAGGATGAATCAAACTAATAACTATATTTGTATGAGAAAGGAACAATGCTTTTAGATCATGATATTTTAATCTGAGCTCTTCTTCATCCTACAGTTTGATCCCATGAGCTCTGGATGGTTGGGGATGCCCTCACTACCAGACCCTCGGTGTCTGTTCGGTCTGGCGGAGGCTGAGAACTCCATCTATGTGGTGGGAGGAAAAGAGCTGAAGGAGGGAGAACGTGCTCTAGATTCTGTTATGATCTACGACAGACAGTGAGTACAAGCATATAGCAAATAACATACATTGACAGAGCTCGTAGTAGCAGCGGTTTTCAAACTGAAGGCGGGTTGCACAAAGCGTGAGAATGTTGATGCGTTCATGCATGTCAGAAATATGAATATGTAAGTAAATGTAAGAAAAATTAAAAATGTAAGTTCTGAAATTCTCAGTTAAGATTTATTTCTCATTTTTTTAACATGACACACTAAATGCATATCTGTCAACCCTCCCGTTTTCCTCAGGAGTCTCCAGTATTTCACACCCATCTCCAACTCCCCTCCCATTTAGTTATTTCTCCAGGTAATTTTAAAGCCCCAAACCTCGTTATATGAATAGTCCCATCAATATATTATTCCAAGATCATCCATTTGCCAGATCTAATTTGAAACTCATCCTACTCACACATTTATTTTGACACGTCATACAAATTTCAACCCATTTGTGACCTCAACCTGGCAACCTACAACCTTGCACTGTTGATATCTGTGCAGGTAGTGGATGTATAGATCAGTCTAACGCATCCTTCACTGAATGAACCAGAGCTACAACTGAATCAACAATCAATCATTTGACTCACTTTACACTGACATGTCACAGTTCCATGTCAATAAATAATTAGTTACTTCAATACAGCCATTAGGCCAATTTTAGTTTTCCCTCTCATATTTCACTCTTTTTGGCAGATCTTGAGATTGATTATACCTCTCCAGGTCAGCTCTTGCCATAACCCCTGATCAACAGGATGTTGTCTGTCATGGCTGAAGGCTGATAACTATACATTTTCACACAGGTCATTCAAATGGGGAGAGTCAGACCCTCTTCCATACGCAGTTTATGGACATGGAATTGTTTCACACAAAGGACTGGTCTATGTGATAGGTGGCAAAACTGAGAGCGAGTAAGGAATCTGGTTTTATTATACTTTACAAACACATTATGCCAGGTTGTCTTTGGTTTTCATAACCAGACTTGAAATGTGATGTACAGGAAATGCCTGAGGAGAGTATGTGTCTATGACCCCTCTAAGTTTGAATGGAAGGATCTGGCACCCATGAAAACCGCCCGCTCGCTGTTTGGCACTGCTGTTCACAAAAACAAAATCTATGTGGTGACTGGAGTCACTGATAACGGCCTGACTAGCAGTGTGGAGGTCTATGACATCGCCAGCAACTTGTAAGTCACACTTTTGTCATATTTTGTCAAGACTCCTTAACACAGGCAAGTTGCTCACTTGTGTGTCTCCTGCTTAGCTGGTCAGAGTTCGTGGAGTTTCCTCAGGAGAGAAGCTCTCTTAACCTGATCGAACTGGGCGGCTGCTTGTATGCTGTGGGGGGTTTTGCTATGATGCCCAATGAGACCACAGAAAAACTGGAGCCCACTGAAATGAATGACATATGGAGGTGAGTATTTATGTTCAGCTCAAACTGGTTTAATGAGACTTATTGGCCTAATGAAACTTGGTCATATATTTGAAACTAAAGTTGAAATTTGAGAATTAAATTGCGATTTGCGTGACAGGTTTGAGGAGGAGGAGAACTGCTGGAATGGGATCCTGAGGGAGATCCGTTATGCTGCAGGGGCCACAGTGGTTGGAGTGAGTCTGAACACCTTGAGACTCACAAAGATGTGATCTACAGCTGTCATCTATTGACAGAATACACAGTAAACAATGTCACCCACATCTTCATAAAAGAGCAATACATATTCCATTGAATCATTTGTCACAGATTTATAGTTAGTTTGTTATTGATCTTAGCAGTGTTTGATGCTGCTGTTCCAAGAAAACTCAGCAGATGGAGACAAACACAAGACCATTTTTTTTTCATAAGAATGCTTTGTTAGTCATTTTGGGTAATTAGATGTTGAATAATTTGACTTATTTAAATAACCATGTACATTGATTTCTATCATTCTATTATGTTATTTTAGATGACAACTACAATTGAACATTTTGCAATTATGACCAAGTACAATGTTCTTACATTAAAAAAAGAGAAATAAATGGCAGTGACTGAACAATAACCTAATCTACTGTAGACAATGACCAAACTAAAAAACACGAACAACAAAACACAATCGTCTGTGGTAAATGTTAACACAAATATTGTCATACACCCTCCAAAGCCACATGAAAATAAAAAAAGTAAAGGTGAAAGAATACAAGGATTTTCTATTCTGTATGCCATCGGATACTGCTTGACATCATGATGGGTCCTGGATGGAGCTTCAGAGTCATTTTTTCATCATGAATAATATAACAGCTAGTGCTGCGAACACAAACACTCTGGAATAAAGAGATCTGAACACCTCTCGGGTTTTGGAACATTGTGCATAGACCAAAATATTCATATAATTACATAGAAATTAAAACATTACAGCAATAAAATAAGATTGCAATTCCCAATTCATAAAAAATATTGTGTAAAAACATTTACAGATCTGAAACTATAAGATTCTTGTCTAAAAGTGCAAAAATGAGCAGTTAAAAACAATAAAAAATTGATTTTTAATTTAGAAGATCAAACATTAGAGTCTATGTGAGACTGTGAGAAGTGGATAAACTCTAAATAGTGGAGAACAACTGATTTTTTCATTAATAATATATAATACAATCTCTACCAATTCACCTGTTAAATGGCTGCTGTACGTTCAGCCCAAACACATTCATGAATATGAACATCACCAAAAACACAAACCATCAAGGTTTTTGAAAATGTTAACAAAACAAATGAGCCATATACGTCAGCCGTATACATAAATTTCCATCTGTTGACAACATACAAATTGTAGTCATTCACAATTTCGACAAAAGTTCGATTTTTAAGGTGCTTCAGAACAAATACAACAAACAGAAATGATAAAACTATGACAAAATATAAGGGCTAAACAAATATTTATAAAACCCCTTACACCAACAAGCCAGTAAAGTGCCAGAAACAGAATCTACTGACTGCACATTTCCACCACCAACAAGATCTGTGTTACTCACAAGCAGGTCATCACCCCAAACACAAATAGTGCTAACTAACAAAGTTTTACATAAAGCATCTAAACCAATAAAAAGTCAACCGAAAGCTATATAAACCGAATATGCTGTTGTCTATTTATTATTCTCTTAATATTGTAGGCTACATAAAGCATATATGTCTTACATTTAGCATTCTACATCTGGGTAATAGTTTTAGTATCATACTTATTACTTTTTGCCTAACTAGGTTTATCATAGCATGGAGGACTCATTTGATATGGGAACGGAAGGGATAATTGAGAATATGACGTGAAAACCAAATAAGACTAACATGATATCTCAGACTCTTTGCTACATAAAAAGGATCTCTGCATCACAAAAAAAAACAATAGTATAATACAGAGCAGTAGTTACAGGTTCCTGGAGTCTGTCCTTCCAGCGGAGTAGAGCGGCGTAAGGGAACGCAGCTGAGAATGTGACGGACCCCTGTCCACTGAGTGGAGCATAGATGATGCAAAAGTGACTACGCCATGCAGATGTGGGCTAATATCCCTCAGTGTTTCCATCCCGACCACCAGTTCTTGGTTTGCAGCAGCTTGTGTTTGATTGGTTATAGCGGAGGAGTCCAGCAGGGTAGGGTTCCTGACCTGGGAACACTTCTCTCGGTGAGCTTTCAGCATGTTGGAGAAGCGGAACCGCTGGCCGCACGCTTCACAGGGGTAAGGCTTCTCTCCCGTGTGCGTACGCCGGTGCCGCTTCATATTGGGACGACTCGTGAAGCTCTTCCCACAGATCTCGCAAATATATGGTTTCTCTCCTAAAAAGAACCAGCAGACCTCTTGGACTGACTGTAGAAAGTATTTCGAAGTGCTATACATGTGTACAAGCATCTCACCTGTGTGTGTCTTCGTGTGTTCATCAAAATACTGTTTCATATTGAAGTCTTTCCCACACCACTGACACATAAACTGCTTGTGTCCGATGTGGATGCTCATGTGAGAGCGCAGTTGGTACTTATACTGAAAACGCTCACTGCAGACCTAAAGGACAAGGAGTGGACAAATTTCAAACATGGCCAGCAGTTAATAATGGAAATTATGAAACAGAATGTTCTGGTCCTGGATGCTGATTGGTCAATTATGTGCTAAAATAAAAACATTATTGGTTATTGGTAATTTTACTGTGCAGAAAACACTTATTGTTTACTCTTGATGGGTATCAATACAGATTTTCTGATTAAAAAAACTGTCTATTTTAACATCAATTTTTAAACGTTAATAAAAAAAAGTACAGTGTTTTAGACTAATCCAAATCAGTAACTCATCTTTTTTGATCTAGGCCTATCTAAAGGATTCATTCGTTTTGGAAATCGAGTTATTGGTTGCGCTTGATGTTTTTGATTCACTAAAAAGAACCTGTTCATAAGAGTCATTTCTTCAATAATCAGACTACACAAGTAATGTTATGTTTGTTATATTGTGTAGCCGGTGAGGACAGCTCAGCTTTTGTTGTGTTGCTGAAAGGAAATGCTGATAAAGGGAAGATTCTAATTATGCATATATATATATATATATATATATATATATATATATTAGGGGTGTAACGATACACGTATTCGTATTGAACCGTTCGGTACGCATTACAAACCGAACGATTCGTTGGACTATTCCTATTACGGCATATTATTCTAGTAGGTTAGATTAGTGCGAGTGCGCATTTAGAGTGCGTTCTTTCACTGCATGATTTAGTCTATTAAAATGCATTTAGAATGATCACAAATTCAAGATATGGGGCAGAAAATGTATATATTTACATAATTTCATATAGTTAATCAATATCACAGAACAATGCCGTTTTTTCTCTCCAAAAATCAGCATGATTACACATGATTTTTACAACAGTTCAATAAATATATATACTGTATAGAGAGAGATTTTCAGAATCATTCAAATCAAGGTAGCAGTTATCTGTATTTTACCATTCCTTACTGTTTACCTACTGTACATCAGTGACTATATCTAATTGTAAAAGAATGACACTTGATGAATTTGCTTAAACTATTAAAATAGCTTAAAAATAAAACATCGTTTTAAAAAATGTTAATGTAGGCTACTTATGTTTTTTTATTATTATGAAGAAATCATGTATATTCACAGCTACTTGCTTAATTTTACCATACCTCACACTGGAAAGGCTTCTCTCCTGAATGTTGGAGAGAGTGGACCTTCAGTGACATGCTTCTTTTAAATGACTTGCCACATGTCTCACAGGTAAATGGCATCTCTTTTGTGTGGGCTAAAGATGTGTAGAACAAGTCAATGATTAGTCAGATAATTAAAGTTTACTGTTTAAAGTATAAGACTTAGGGCTGGGACAATAAATCGATGCATCGCGAATCGAGAAATGATTCTGCATCGATTCTGAGATTTTCCGAAGGCATCGCGATTCTCTCTTGAATCGATTCTGAGCTTAGTTTTTAACAGCAGATGGCACTGCGTGCTTTAGAAATAGCCGAATTCTGCTTGCTTCCAGTTCCTTACACACGCACCATTTGAACCTAAAATAATCATTCATAAAGTTCGAAAGGGTTGAAGCGAAGTACAAGGATGTTTACATTAATCTCGCATCATAAAAGCATAAAAGCCGATGTGCAAATACATTTAACCACTTACATTACTCAGCCGAACGCACAAGCGCTCTTCTTCGTGAGCATTTGATTGTGCGGCTAAAAACTAGCCTAGACCGCATCTGCTGTTAAAAACTAAGCTCCGAATCGATTTGAGAGAGAATCACGATGCATTCCGAAACTCTCAGAATCGATCCACGAATCGCGATTAATCGATTTATTGTCAAAGCCCTAAAAAGACTAGGAGTAAATTTAATTTAATTTAATTTAACTTTAACACAACTCACCAACCATGTGCTTGCGTACATGAGCCATTGTGTAGAATTTCTTCTCACAGATCTCACAAGTGTACTTCTTCTCGGCATAGCCATGAACAATCTTATTGTGCTCATGGAGCGACCAGAGCTTCCTGAAAGCTTTTCCACAGGTTAAACACTACAAAATGAGACAACGACCAGTAAAAACAAATCTTGTCCATTGCATTGAGTTTTTTGTGTTTGTATGGGTTTGAATGTTCCTGGGTCAATTACTTTATTGCATTATTTCTTTATCGCAATTGTCCGCAATAAAGAAAAGGAAAAATGGGTAACACTTTACAATAAGGTTGCATTTGTTAACTATATTTAATACATTAACTAACGTTAACTAACAATAAGCAATACATTTGTTACAGTATTTATTCATCTTTGTTAACATTAGTTAAAAAAACTGGTTTCATTGGTAGTCTATGTTAGCTCAGGTCCATTAAATAACATTAATAGATACAACTTGTCATTTCAATTATGTATTAGTAAATGCTGGAATCAATATTAATGAAGATTAATAAATGCTTTCAAAGTATATTTCATTGTTAATTTATGTTAACTAATGTGGTTAACTAATGTTAACAAATGGAACCTTATTGTAAAGTGTTACCAATAAATGTTTTAAATAGGTGAAGTGCAGAAATATGTATTTTCTGCATTCATGCTGGTTTCATATGGTTTTAAAAATCATTTATACAATTTTCAGGAAAATGGTTTTCAAATATAATTTTAGATATAAAAATACATATTTTTATACAAATTTGACAAATTCTTAATACATAATATCATAAAGTTTTGAAGAGTCACACCATATGGCATTTCACAACTTGAAATAACCTTGCTTTGTCATAAAAAGGTAAAATAGATATTTTATGTTAAAAGGTTTTTAAATATTAATAACCAGTGAAACCATTAAATGTTTCACGAATAACAGTCTTTATTAATCCACACAAAGACTCACAGCCAGGAACACACACGTAGCACGGGGAATTGACGATTAACACTGGACACAGGGCACAGGAAAACACAGGGCTTAAGTACCAGGAACTCAACGAGGGGTAACAGACGGGTTACACCCGAATCAAATTAGCACAATCAGAACACGGGAGAAACTGGGTCACGGGGAGCACATGGGGAACAAAACACAACACAGGAACACAAGGACAGCCCATGGGCGTGACATTACCTCCCCCTCCCGGAAGGCGCGTCCACGCTCTGGAGGCCTCTAGGAACAGGCTTACATGGGACAGAAGGCCTCCAGGGCGGTACCCGTTCCGGGACCCATGGCGGATTGGGCAGTTCAAGGGGACATGGAGTAGGCAGACAAGGGAGCCATGGCAGAGCAGGCAGCTTGGGGAGCAAAAAAATTCCTTGGGGAAAATCTCGGATTCCCTGGCTGGAACCGTCTCTGGGCTTGACTCGGGATCTGAGGCCCTCCATGGGCCTGACAGGCAAACAGGAGCCCTTTCTGGGCTGGGCGTAGGAGCAGGAGCCCTCTCT